CTTTCCCTCCCTCCTTCCTTCTTTCTTTCTGGCTCCAAAGGGACTCTTTTCTTTCTCTCTCTCTTTCTGTCTCTCTCTTTCCTCCCTTCCTTTCCCTCCCTCCCTCTCTCCCAAACAAGCAGCAGTGAACATTACTTTTTGAGGGTTCAATACAGTGGTTGGTTGGTCCTTGCATTACGTGGCTACACTCTGAACCAAAGAGAGCTTAATTCTTGAGTTTTACATTTGGCGGAGATACCTGTGTTGGCTGTGGAGGCCCCAGAGAGAGCCAAGACTTGTGACATGGAGGACCAGGACCGGAGTGTGTTTCTTTGGGACACAGACCTCACCTGGAAATCCCAGCCGCTTGGGGATTTATGCCCTACCCAAGGATCAACCCCTGATCAACTCTGCTCATCCAGTGTTTTTGGCTTGTAGCCAAAGTCTGGAATAAATAGCCCCACACTTCAGAATCTTTATGATTTGTCTGGGTTGGGCGACACCTCCCTTCAGTTGGGGTTTCGCCAGGCTGGCCCTAGGGTAATGGTTGCTTGTGTCCTGACCGCTGAGTTCATACCTTCACAAACACCCCTTAGGCTCGCCTCTCATTGCTTTCCTTGCCATTGAAAGAAATTTTCAGGGTGCAATTAGAGGCACTTGGCTCTCCCCCTATTTCTGGTTTCTTCTGAGCCTCTCAAACTAATTCCTCAGTTCCCTAGCTTTGTTCTCTGGGAGAGCTGAGATTGGTGTCAGGTGGGGATCACAGAGGTTAGATAAGGCCTCCCTAAAACAAGGGGCCAGCAGCTAGACACAGCAGGAGAGACAGAGCCAACCTCTTTCTGCTTCTTGCAGCCCTGACTGTGAAGTTTCTGACCAAGAGGTTTATCAGCGAATACGACCCCAACTTGGGTAAGAAACTCCTCCCTACCTCCTTCTACCTGCACCCCACCTGGAGTGCCCCCTGGGACCTACCCCGTGGGTGGGTGCTGACCAGGACTGCGTGTCTGGGGACAGAAGGAAGAAGCTGCCAGCGTGACTCAGCCCCTGGGGGAAGATGTTTTAAGTGTCAGAAAGACCCCTTCCACAGCCCACCCCAGACGATTGGGGTGGGGGGGGTGTTGGCCCAGTTCACATAACTAAGAGAGGCTGATTTACCCTAAAATATGAGGTGTGATGAAACTTAAGAAAATGAAAATAAACATACCAGGACATCCACATCCAAACAAGCACTATTCTTGGGCCGGATACGGTGGCTCAGCCTGTAACCTCCGGACTTTGGGAGGCTGAGGCAGGTGGATCACCTGATGTCAGGAGTTAATGACCAGCCTGGCCAACATGGAGACACCCCGTCTCTACTAAAAATACAAGTTAGCTGGGCATAGTGGCATGCGCCTGTAATCCCAGCTTCTAGGGAGACTGAGGCAGGAGAATCGCTTGAACCTGGGAGGCAAAGGGTTGCAGTGAGCCGAGATTGCACCACTGCACTCCAGCCTGGGCAACAGCGAGATTCCATCTCAAAAAAAAAAAAAAAAAAGACAGAAAAATCAAGAAACAAATAGGTATTATTCTTCAAGACGGTCACTCAGTGTTCTCTTCCAGAAAATCTGGGCAAGACGTTTGAGAAATTCTCTAGTGCAGCTGGCTTCTGAACCAGTTTTTTAACCGTATGAGAAAACAACTCTCGTTTTTATTGCTGCGTCATGGTATATTGGAGAAAGGAGTGTTTCGGTGTCAGTCAGAGCTGGGTTTCAATCCTGCCTGGGTCGGCCCTTATTGGCAACTTGAGCCAGTCAGCTAACCTCTCTGAGCTACTGTTTTCTGGTCTGTAAAAGGGGCATTAAAAATACCTATCTCAGAGAATTGCCGTGAGGATTAAAGCAATAACACACATTATTGCTCCAGCCTAGCACTTGGCCCACATCAGGCACTCAGTGCATTTTTGCTTTTCCTTCCTCCTCAAATGGCTTCCTGTACACAGTGGCTTAGATTCCCTTCTAGAACAAATCAAAGCAGGATTTTGTCAGTATAAATGTAGCTTAAAGCTCAATGTATAACATTTATCTGTTGTAAACTCCTCGCTGAGAGCAATAAGGTGTCTGGGTGATCTTAGCCATGTGCTTTGTTTTTTGGGTTTGAGATGGCATCTCGCTTTGTTGCCAGGCTGGAGTGCAGTGGTGCGAACTCCGCTGGCTGCAACCTCCACCTCCCAGGTTCAAGCGATTTTTCTGCCTCAGCCTCCCAAGTAGCTGGGACTACAGGCGGGTGCCACCCGCCTGGCTGACTTTTGTGTTTTTAGTAGAGATGGGATTCACCATGTTGGCCAGGATGGTCTCGATCTCTTGACCTCATGATCCGCCCGCCTCAGCCTCCCAAACTGCTGGGATTACAGACGTGAGCCACCGCGCCTGGCCAGTCTTAGCCTTTTGAAAATGGGTGCAGCAGTCTTGGATTATTTTCCTCATTCATAAAAATCAAATAAAGCATTCATAGGATGGCTGAGAGCCCCCCAAAGAAGCCCAGGGCTCTGTGACACCAGTGGAAGCCCCTGCACTGCCTGCAGCAGGCCAGTGATGCGGTGCTGCTGACACGCCTGGAGGGGAGAGCTCCTTACCCCAGTGGTGCCCAGCCCCTTAGTTCAGGCTGAAGTCCAGCACCAAATCCCAGCGTCAGAGCAGGCAGAGACATCAGGGCTATTTGGTCCCCCGGTTTGGAAAAAGCTTTTCCGGGCCGGGCGCGGTGGCTCAAGCCTGTAATCCCAGCACTGTGGGAGGCCGAGGCGGGTGGATCACGAGGTCAAGAGATCGAGACCATCCTGGTCA